ATTTTAGGTGTGTTTGACCCATTTTAGTGTCTAAAGTCAATAGTTTGTCTTGGTGAGAGAATGGAAAAGCAGTGGTAAACCAAAAAATGTATTTTTTTCAAAATCGAACAAAAGCATTATTCCAAACGTCACACCTGTGCCTTCAGGTGTGATAAGCCCGGAAGCAGGGTGTTGGGCATAGGGATGTGTCGCAGCAACTGCACATCACCCTGGTCTCCTTCCTGCCCCGATAGTTCTTCCAGCAGTGCACACATTGCCTCCACCACTGGAAGGGTGTGTCAGCAATCATGTGCACCTGCTGGGGCTCCTCAGGTTGGTTCTGAGGAGGATTCCACTGGAAGGAGCCATGGCAACCTCTTGTAAATGCAAGAAAAAAAGACATTGTAAAATACGTATTAAAAGAATTTCAAATCAGAATACAAGAAACAAAAGGTCAGATGCTTACCTTACTCATACTGAGCTAGTTTGCCACCAAGGGCCTGGAAGACAGGTAGTGCATTGATGGTTGTTATATCAAGCAAATAGAAGAATATCTTGTTATATCATTTGATGGTTTTTCGAGTAGCTGGATATGACTGCGCCAGCTGATCCGAGAGATCGATGCTCTTCATGCTGTCCTCTTCCCTCTCCTCCCTCTCTCTCTCTTCCCTCTCGTCCCTCTCTCTCTTCCCTCTCCTCCCTCTCTCTCTCTTCCCTCTCCTCCCTCTCTCACTCTTCCCTCTCCTCCCTCTCTCACTCTTCCCTCTTCTCCCTCTCTCTCTCTTCCCTCTCCTCCCTCTCTCTCTCTTCCCTCTTCTCCCTCTCTCTCTCTTCCCTCTTCTCCCTCTCTCACTCTTCCCTCTCCTCCTTCTCTCACTCTTCCCTCTCCTCCCTCTCTCTCTCTTCCCTCTCCTCCCTCTCTCTCTTCCCTCTCCTCCCACTCTCTCTCTTCCCTCTTCTCCCTCTCTCTCTCTTCCCTCTCCTCCCTCTCCCTCTCTCTCTCTTCCCTCTCCTCCATCTCTCTCTCTTCCCTCTTCTCCCTCTCTCTCTCTTCCCTCTTCTCCCTCTCTCACTCTTCCCTCTCCTCCTTCTCTCACTCTTCCCTCTCCTCCCTCTCTCTCTTCCCTCTCCTCCCTCTCTCTCTTCCCTCTCCTCCCGCTCTCTCTCTTCCCTCTTCTCCCTCTCTCTCTCTTCCCTCTCCTCCCTCTCTCTCTCTTCCCTCTCCTCCATCTCTCTCTCTTCCCTCTCCTCCATCTCTCTCTCTTCCCTCTCCTCCCTCTCTCATTTCCCTCTCCTCCCGCTCTCTCTCTTCCCTCTCCTCCCTCTCTCTCTCCCCTCTCCTCCCTCTCTCTCTCTTCCCTCTTCTCCCTCTCTCTCTCTTCCCTCTCCTCCATCTCTCTCTCTTCCCTCTCCTCCCTCTCTCATTTCCCTCTCCTCCCTCTCTCTCTCTTCCCTCTCCTCCATCTCTCTCTCTTCCCTCTCCTCCCTCTCTCTCTCTTCCCTCTCCTCCCTCTCTCTCTCTTCCCTCTTCTCCATCTCTCTCTCTTCCCTCTCCTCCCTCTCTCTCTCTTCCCTCTCCTCCCTCTCTCTCTCTTCCCTCTTCTCCCTCTCTCACTCTTCCCTCTCCTCCTTCTCTCACTCTTCCCTCTCCTCCCTCTCTCTCTTCCCTCTCCTCCCTCTCTCTCTTCCCTCTCCTCCCTCTCTCTCTTCCCTCTCCTCCCGCTCTCTCTCTTCCCTCTCCTCCCTCTCTCTCTCTTCCCTCTTCTCCCTCTCTCACTCTTCCCTCTCCTCCTTCTCTCACTCTTCCCTCTCCTCCCTCTCTCTCTTCCCTCTCCTCCCTCTCTCTCTTCCCTCTCCTCCCGCTCTCTCTCCCTTCCCTCTCCTCCCTCTCTCTCTCCTCCCTCTCCTTCCTCTCTCTCTCTTCCCTCTCCTCCTGCTCTCTCTCTTCCCTCTCCTCCTGCTCTCTCTCTTCCCTCTCCTCCCTCTCTCTCTCTCCTCTCTCTCTCTCTCTCTCTCTCTCTCTCTCTCTCTCTCTCTCTCTCTCTCTCTCTCTCTCTCTCTCTCTCTCTCTCTCTCTCTCTCTCTCTCTCTCTCTCTCTCTCTCTCCCCCCCCTCTTTCTCTCCTCTCTCCCTCTCCTTCCCTCTCATCCCTCTCTCTCTCTTCTCTCTCATCCCTCTCTCTCTCTTCCCTCTCATCCCTCTCTCTCTCTTCCCTCTCCTCCCTCTCTCTCTCTTCTCTTCCCTCTCCTCCCTCTCTCTCTCTTCTCTTCTCTTCCCACTCCTACCTCTCTCTCTCCTCCCTCTCTCTCTCCTCCCTCTCTCTCTCCTCCCTCTCTCTCTCTTCCCTCTCTCTCTCTCTCTCTCTCTCTCTCTCTCTCTCTCTCTCTCTCTCTCTCTCTCTCTCTCTCTCTCTCTCTCTCTCTCTCTCTCTCTTCCCTCTCTCTCTCTCTCTCTCTCTCTCTCTCTCTCTCTCTCTCTCTCTCTCTCTCTCTCTCTCTCTCTCTCTCTCTCTCTCTCTCTCTTCCTCCTCCTCCTCCTCCTCCTCCCTCTCCCTCTCCCTCTCCCTCCCCCTCCCCCCTCTCTCCTCACCTTTTCTTTTCTTTTTTTTTTTTCTTTAAAAAAAATCGAGGAATAGGATAAACAGTTGCCTGTTGTGACATAATCATGGCTCTAGCATTTTTCTGGGATTCACATTTGGTTCAGTGACTGGGGGACAGTTTAACCCCCTGATGACACGTGACAAGCAAACATTCAAAATGGATCAATTTCAGTTGTTTGCTTTGTCTGATGAGGAATTTTTGACAAATTTGAAATGTTGTGTTTATTACATATTGTGGCTGTGGTTATTTTAGTCTGTATGTGTGTAACAATAACCTCTCCCATGCAGTATTTGTAGAAAAAGATGTAAGGGTTCAAATTTTACTGAAGCATTCAGTAAACCTCTGTGCTTATTTTTCCTTGGGTAATTTGAGCTGTCAGGTAATGTTTTAGTATTTAAAGACAATTAGAAATAGTAAGTCAGCACATTTTATTTTGTGATTTAGGGGTAGTTATTTTTATCTTTTCCTCTTTTTCAGATACATTGAAAATCTGGATAAACCTTTTCTAAGCAATTGGGAGAGACATCTGATGGCAACACAAGAGAATACTGTTATAAATGATTCAGGACGTCTTCCTGCTAACTGGCTGGCAAATGGTCCAGGATCCCATGGCATGGTTGTTACTGCTTTGTGGGCCCTGAGAGAGTACATGATGAAGGACTCCTTAGGCATTGCAAAGATTTTGTGACCCGACACAAGGCATGGAGACATGAGAAAGGAGGAGATTACAAAATTAATCTGTGAAGGTATTGGTACTCAAGCCAACACATCTTCAGTGGGTGGTCTTCCCAAAGGATTTTCATTCACAGTATCAACTTCAGTAAATGAACTTGGCTGAAAGTTTATTCAATCATTTTTTTTAAGTAGCTCTGTAGATGCTGTCAGTATCTACTTCTGTAACTGACTTGCCTGAATTTTCAGTCTCACATTTTAAGTGGTTGTAAAGTTGCCATAACATTGCTATCACATAAGTAAATGTCATAATTGTCCTTTTATTGTATGTCATTCATTTATTAGTGCCTAATGCCAGGGCTGTATACATGCAGGTAATTTTTTTTTTCTTCTTCTTCTTTTGGGGGGAGGAGGTCTTTACTTTCCAAATTACTTGTTCATTGTACTCAACCCTATTGTGTCTTTGACTTAACCTAAGATTTGTACGAGTTTTACGTCTCATAGCAGTATGCAGTGCTCATTATGCACTGTGATAGTCAGGCCACCTTTGTTTACTTTGGATGAAATGTATAATTATTTTTACACGAGGGATGAAGGTAGAGGAATGTCTCACTATTAAATAATTTCTTTACTTCAGTACTGTAATACAGTCTATGGATAACAGAAGATTAAACTTTCAATATCATTCTCTTCAGGGACTGCAGTGAAATAAGATGTTTTATTTGTAATTTTAATATGTTATTTAGATTCAGTAATATGTTGTGGATTTGATCTTTTCAGATTTTCCATTTTTAATTTAGAAATAAATGAATAAATAATTCAAGTGCATATACTATTTTATTAAAGAGTTATTCATATGATATTCACTTCTAGATTAAGAGAACCTTAATATGCCAATCTATTGACAAATGGAAATATACACTATAGCAAACCAGCTATCACCTTGCCAACTTTTTCCTCATTTAATTATGATACTGTTATTTCCTATTTCTTTCCTTTTTTCCTATTACTACTCCATTACACAATTTGTAATACCATAGTATATTTTCCCATCTATCTTAAGTTTCATATTATGAATATATATATTTTGATTTTTTTCCCAGACAGTCTTACTGATATAGAGGTGCAAAAGATGCTTCATAGAAAAACTAAGAAAAGTCTGGACAAACTTTAGAATGTGGTTGGAAAAGAATAACTAGTACAAAATTTTGTAAATTATTGCAAGTGCTTTCCGAGCCCAAATTGTGTAACATACTGTAAAACATCAAATATGCAATAGAATAAGAATTTTAACCTCCTACTGACGGGTTAAGAAAACTTTTTGAAAATCTACGCTCTGGAGATTACTGAGAACGAGCTGACTTTGAGCGCGGGAGTTCGCTACATCAAGCCGAACCCCCAGCTCATAGCACTCTGGCGCGTCGCCGCACACTCCACAGATGGAGCAGTTTGTTATGACACCTCAGTGTGTGGCCCGTCGGTATGGGGTTAAGGCTGTAAGATCTGTAGGTAGAATTTAGGTTTAATAAGTGAACTGTAATTGTAATACTCCCACATTTGGCATTGCTTTTAAGGAAGTAGTTTTAGAAGATATATATGCAGCATTATCTGTAATGTAGTTCTCTATTTATGAGATGTGGAATGGATTTTGCACTTGTTCAATGCATAAAAGCTGGGACCTCAATTTTTAGCTCACTGACACTTGACATAGAAATTATATTTAATTTTTAAAAATCTCATTGCAAAAATACACAATAAAACTATACATTATTTACATTTACTGTATTAGCACCTTTCTTTTAAAAAACAATATTGTCATCATAGTTTATAGCTGATATATGACATTAAATCTTTGTAACAACTGGCATTATGTGAACATAGGATTGAAAGTACTTGAATTTTACCATGCTAGAAGTGATGCTCCTGTAAAAATCAAATTAATCATATTTGGAATAATATATTGCTGAAACCTGTTATTAAAACTTTCAAGTAATAATTTTTAAGTAATATCAGTCATATGAAGATGCTCTTAACACATTGATGCCGGGATGACAAAAGCATATGCCATGCATTGTGCTTTTACTTTATTGTCTTAATACATAGACAGCTCCAGAAGTGCATAGTCACCAAGGAGTCAATTACTAGTCCTAGCTGTCTCACCTGTTTACCCTTTTCTTTGATTTTCAGATTTTTTTTTCTTTCTTTTTTTCTTTCTTTCTTTTGACATTGCCATTAGTATTATTGATAATATCTTAATAATCATCAGGTTGATAATGGAAATAACAGCACTGATATTAGTAATAAAAGAGAAAAAATCCTAACGCCAAAGGGAGGGGAAATTAGGAGAGGTCATACGAACCCACTTATTGACTCTTTGGTGGCTGAGCACTTGTACAGTTTTTATTGTGCAAACAAAATTCATAAAACAAAGCTACATTGCACATTACATGTACCTGGCAGCAATAGCTGAATCCAATGCCTCCAGGAGAATTTGGGGTTCGCTGGGCCTCCACTCTACGTAGTATGTGCAGCCAACCGGGCTTACCTCCATGGCCTTTTGCATAGCACTCACCGTGCCAGATCCATAAAGGGAGATGATGAATTCTTTTCTTTTTTCTTTTATTTCCTTCTTTTTTCTCTTTTTTTAATACTGCTTGTATGCAAAACATGATTTTAATGTTTTTTATGTTTTTGCATAATCAGAGGTGTATGATGTGCATTTTAGTTGCTAGATCAAATCTGTAGTGGTCTGATTGTGTACATTAGAGTCCATTTCAATAAATAAGGTATGTTATACTATGTGTACAAAATAGAATGTGGTTTTATTGAGGGGTAAAAAAAATATATTTTTTTATTATGAAACAAGACAGTGTGCAGGTATATATAAGGCAGCTACTACCATGGCTTTTGTACTTCCCTTTTGTGTATCATACTTCAAGACAGTCACATGAACTGGCAGAGCACCAAAAGGCAATGTGAGTAGTTGACACAAGGAGACTGTGATCACATAAACTAAACTAGAGTGAAGGTTACAGGTTCACATCAACAGCAATAGAGCACAATGTTTTGGTAAATGACATCTTCCAGGCATAACAGGCAAAGGATTTGTGTACTAAAATTCACCCAATCATAGTATTACACATGCCATTCACCTTCAGGCAATGTCCCAGGGCATGTGGTGTGGGCAGGAGGTTCCTTCTAACCTGTTTGAGACGGGTCACTTGTATTGGCATCATAACAAACTGCTTGGCCTGCGGGGTATGCACGGCGATGTGCCAGAGCACGTGGAGCAGGAAGTTCCATTTGATGTGGCAACTCCCGTGCCCAGTGCCTGGCCATTGCCAAAATTTACCCGAGTTTAACATACTCAGGGATTTCTGTTACCCAGCAGTGATAGGTTAAGGAATACTATAAAATGTAATGCATGCATCATCAGAACATGACATGAATGATCTGTCACCCTGAGCTGTGCCCAAACTGGACCCTTGAGTACTGATGGAAAAAGGTTGCAAATTAGGCATTATTGCCTGATAGGAGGCAGCTATTTTCCCTAGCAATTTCTCAGTCCTTTTTCTTTAACGCCTTCCCAAGGGTGACGCTGGTAGGCCTGAAAATAAACCGCTCGAAAAGTGGCGTGCGGCTGTACACCGTGGCGGTGATTCGGGCTGATGTACTGAACTCGTGCGCTCAAAATCGGCGCGCCGCCATTGTTTGCCAGAGCGAAGAGTTTTGTTTTTTTGTTTTTTGTTTTGTTTTGTTTTGTTTTGTTTTTTGTTTTCTTCACCCGTCACCTTTGGGCTAACATTCTTACCAAGATGGAGTGAGTTTTGTTACTTAATGCTATTTCTTCAGAGCTTCTTTCCTCTTGCTTCATTTAAGTTTTTGGCTCCCTATCTCCATTTCTTATTTTTTTGCTCTTATTGTTCATCTCTCAGCCATAACTAATATGATTTACACGATATGTCTTGTTATGTGTACCCAGTACACACTAATGATGATCCTTTGTCTCAGACTACTGTAATCTTGATTGAGACAGACAAACACAACCATACCCTGTCCTCTTGAGATATGAGTTATTTTTGGTTGTGTATAACCTTATTCATGTTCGTTCCTTTTTATATATGAGAGTATTCCTGGCTAAGTTTGATAAATCATATTCCATAATACAATAACTTGATCTGGATTAGGGTAGTGTTTCTCTTCTATGAGGGCTGAGTTATGGTGTTCTACCTCTTCTCACTGTTCCTTTTTCTCTTGTGAATAGGAGAAATAGAGTTGTAACATCATCACTTATTCCTGTCTGATGGTGGTGGTCTTTTTATTATTATTCTTGGTTCCTATTTTGATGCATACCCACTGTTTGAAACCTGTTATTTGAAATAAAGATCCTCTGTTTGAGGGATTAATTTGAGAAAAGGTCATAATCTGACCTTGAATTTAGTGTCTTATTTTTTTTAGTTTGTTGTAGTTGGCATAACTTTATACATATGTCAGTTACCATATTCAGTGAATCTGGGTTTCTGTGAGCCACAATCATAGATATTAACTGTCATTTGTAATGTGTTTGGTTGTCTTCACTACATAGACCTCTCCAATTTCTTGCCCATTGTTGTCATGGGGGCTTAGGAGATGAGGTCCAATATGGTGTATCTTCCCAGCTTTGGGCCTCAGCCCTCGGCTCTTTTCTTCTTCCCCTTTCCTTTTCCTTTTTTTCCCCACCCTCTTCTTTAGTCCACTTCTTAAGATATGAGGGCTGTGTTGAAAGTATAAAAGGCTGGCTTTGTGTCAGTCCTGAATGGCCTCTGGGAAACATGGACACCATATTCTCCTGTTTTAGTTATCTAGCCCTTCAGAAGACATTCATTCATCTTTCCTAACATCTTCTATCCTGCTTCCTCATCCTCCAGTCTTCTTCATTTTCAACCCCCTCCTCCCTTATTACTACTCTTCATCATCCTTGTTGTCCATCTCCCTGCAGTAGTATCTCACTGAACACTACTCCCTCCTCCTCTGTCATTGTACTTCAGCTTCAGCTTTTTTTGTGAATCCCCTTACAGCCCCTTATGCAGACAATACCCTCATCTCCAAACACAAATAGGCAAAGTTTCCTTCTGCAACTGTTTGTCTTTCACACAATATCACAGTTACATCTAAGTTCTAAGCTTAAGCATGTTCTACCCTGACTAGATTTACTGGCAAACTTATCCCTGCCCAACATCACTTCTTCCTTAACCCATTGCCGCCGGGGAAAATGAACAAAAAATGGGGGAAATGCAGTACTCATTTTTTATATTTTTGTGAAATATCTCTGTCCATAGATGGCTCTGCTAGTCCTGATTTCACCTTTCCTTGAATTAGCGGGAAAAAAACATATTCCTACTTGTGCTATAAATATAGATGGTGTTATTTTTAACAGCAAATTAGGATAACGTTAAATATTTTCGTAAATCGATGAAATGGGTGAATGGGCGAGACAGGCAGTAATCGTAATTGGCTCATTGGATACTTAGTGCAAGTGTAGCCATCTTTGTGTAAAAACAATCGAACAAGTCGACTCACAGTGGGCATGGCATGTACGTACATGCCATCCCCGGCAGTAATGGGTTAATACTTGTACTGGAACTGTTTCCATCTCAGCTGAATGCCCTGTCCACGACAAGGATTGCTCAGACTGAGAAAACAGGATACTTGCCTGCCTTGTTGGCTATGAATAATACTACACTCTTCCCCCAAAGGCCACCATTAGTCCTACATCAACATATCCAGGATTATTGTCCATAGACATGACCTTCCCCTATAAAGTTTATATTAGTGGAGAATCCCGTCCT